CAAAGAGATGGCACCTGCCTACTGAATTTCCTGACTAGTGACACTTGGAAGAAAAAGAGTTTTAAATAGAAACCTCCCTGCAAGTGTTAAATCAGATTAATTTAACTCTTGCGTTATTTTAATCTTAGACACCACCATTTGCAAGGCAAGCAGGGAAAAAAAATTAGGGAGTAGGATTCTTATCTTGACCATATTCTTTGGGAAATACAGTGTATTATTAAAAACCACAAATAGCCTTTTTGACAGCAAAATACAGACACATCTGGCTATTTTGCAGTAGGAAAAAAGCACTAACATTTTATGAAGCTTTGTGTTCACTCAGCATCAAGTGAAGAGCTTTCCTCCAGCCTTGTGGTGCCCAATGCCACTGCCAAAAACACCAACACCAGTTTGGGGCCACACTTTGGATTTGCACGTGGCAAAAAGTGTTCTGCAAAATTCAATGCAGTTTGAAAGGTTGGTGATGCTGCTGAGGAAGAAGTTTCGCAGAATTTCCCCCACAAACACCATCATGGAGGTACACTCTGATACTCCAGTTGTGAGTTAGGCTCATGCTTAAATAATGGATTAAATTATTAAAATTAATAATTAAACAGCTGGATTAAATTTATACTGAGGGGATCACGTCATAGGAAAACATGCACATTGTAATGGTCAGGAATCATGGAATGGTTTGGGCTGGAAGGGACATTAAAGATCATCCAATTCCAACCCCCTGACACAGGCAGGGACATCTTCCACAATCCCAGGTTGCTCCATGCCCCATCCAAACTGGCCTCAAACACTTCCAGGGATGGGGCAGCCACAACTTCTCTGGAAAACTTGTGCCAGGGCCTCCCCACCTTCACAATAAGGAATTTCTTTCTAATATTGAATCTAAACCTGCTCTCTGTCAGTGGGAAGATATTTTCCTCGTTGTATCACTCCAGGCCCTTGTCCAATGTCCCTCTCCAGCTCTCTTGGAGCCCTTTTAGGCACTTTAAGGGACTCTCCCTGGAGCCTTCTCTTCTCCAGGCTGAAAATCCCAGCTCTCCCAGCCTGGCTCCAGAGCAGAGGGGCTCCATCCCTCTGATCCCCTTGGTGGCTTCCTCTGGACTTGCTCCAACAGCTCCATGTCCTTCCTGTGCTCTGCAGGTGGGGTCTCACCTGAGAAGGGCAGAACAACCCCCTCAGCTGCTGCCCACCCTGCTTTGGATGGAGCCCAGGACACACTTGGATTTTTGGGCTCCACATGCCCAAAAATGGCTGGGTCATGTCCAGCCTCTCATCCACCAGCACCCCCAAGTCCTTCTCGACAGGACTGCCTTCAATCTGTTCTTCCTCCAGCCCAGACACCAGAGGTGGAAACACACAAACAACCATGCCCTGGGGGTGGAAAGATTCATCCATCCATCCATCCATCCATCCATCCATCCATCCATCCATCCATCCTCACTAGAACCAAACCTGGACACACAAGTCCTTTCCAGTGCAATCAGCCCCTAGCAATGACAATTCCAACCATGAATAAAACAGAGGCTCCTCCTGACCACCTAAACCCCTCAGGTCTCACCAATTTCCAGGCCTCTGAAGCACCAGCAACCCTTGGAAGGTCCATAAAAACCCAAGTGAGAGGCACACAGCTCACCCCACTGCACAAAGCAGGTGAACTGTAGGAAGGAGGATAACAAAGATGGGAAAACTAAATTACAAGTTTGTAACAGTTCATTCCACTTTCATCGAGCAGAATGTGTTTATGGTACAGGCAGGGAATAGAAAGTATTATTTTTATCTTGATATTATTTGCCCTTTCACACTTGCTATTTAAATATTCCTGAAATCCTAGAAGAACCAACAATTCAAAATACCATTTTATATATATATGTATATAGATATATGGAAGGGGAAGCACAGACTCATTCATTTTTAGCTTCCCTCTTTTATTTTTCTTTTCAATTACATTCTAAGTGCTGTAATGTCAATGTGGAAATTTATCAAGACACTGAATATTTATTTTTCCTCCACTCCTGGTAAAGATTCTCCAGACCCAGAGCAAGCAGGGAGACCTGGTCACACCAGAGGGTTGTGTGATGAGGAGTAAATAATAAGAGGTTTAAAATATTTTAAATAAATAAACAAATAAACAAATCAAGAGAGCTGTGAGAAAATGAATTAGGTTGCTTGCAAGAGAGGATGGGAATAAAATATTGTAATATTGAAATCTCTGTTCTACCAGACTCTTTTAGCCAATCTCAACTAAATTGCTTAGAGAATCACAAAACACTTTGGGTTGGATGGAACCTGTACGTTCATCGAGTTCCAACCCCAGTCATGGGCAGGGACGCCTTCCACTATCCCAGGCTGCTCCAAGTCCCATCCAACCTGGCCTTGAACATTTTCAGGGATTGGGCATCCACAGCTTCTCTGGGCAGCCTGGTTCATTGCCTCACCACCCTGTAACTCTTGATTTAGACACAATAACAGAAAGAAACAGGGATGGAATCTGAATCAGAAGCCTGGATCAAGCAGGACACGTGGCTGCACTGATCAGCCTCTCCCACATCCATCAAAGCTGCATTAGTAGTCAAGCTAATTTTTAATAAACAAATAATAAACAGTTGCATTAATAAACAAAAGCAAAGCAGGAAAGTAGGAGGCTTTGGAGAATTCAAGCATGGTGATTTGTTGTGTGGATGACCTCTGGAAAGTGGGAATCAGCACATCTAACACCTAGAAGAAGTCCAGAAACCAGACTGAGGATGAGAGGGAAAAGGATATTGCAGCTGGCAAAGATGGCAGAGCAGGAAGGCAACAAGGGGTCAGACAGCAATGCACTGACACATCAGGGATTTAAAATCCTGAATTTGCATCAACACAAAGAAGAGGGATTTTCCAGAATGGCATGGGGTGATAGGAGAAGGGGGAATATCATTGAGTTAAATGAGGATAGATTTAGGTTGGATTTTAGGAAGAAAATCCTTAATGACAGAGTGGGAGGCCCTGGCAGAGGCTGCCCAGAAAACTGTGGCTGCCCCATCCCTGGAAGTGTTCAAGGCCAGGCTGGATGGGCTTTGGAACAAGCTGGGACAGAGGAAGGGGTCCCTGCTCATGGCAGAGGGGTAGAACTGGATGGTGTTGAAGGTCCCTTCCAACCCAACCCATTCCATGATTCTATGATTAACACTCCAGACAACACCCAGAGCTCAACCCGGAGATGAGATGGAAAAGGGCATCACAGCTGGAGAAGACAGCAGGACAGGAGAGCATCAAGGGGTCAGACAGCAGCTGGGCTGAGTCAGTGGGGATTTAAAGACAACAAACACCTGCAGGGACACCTGGACCACAGCACAGCCCAGCAGGGCAGGACTGAGCACTGTATGTTCACAGCCCCATTGGAAAGGGAAAAACCAGTCTGGAAAAAGGGATAAATGCTTGATAAAGTATAAACCTTATTGCTAAACCAAAAAAAAAAAAAAAAAAAGGGTGGGGGAAAACCCTCATATTTTCATCAATCCTTCACACTCTGCAGCACACAGCCAGAAAACATTTAGGATTCAGTCTGCTGAATCCTAAATGCTTTGTGCAGAATAAAGCACAAAGCAAAACTTGGAGCCGCCACCCCACGCAAGGGTTTGCAAACAAACATCTCCTTGTTCCTGCAGCACTCCCAGAAACAAGGATGCTCCTCAAGCTCAAAAATGTCACAGACAACTTCAAATGCTAAGAAGAAGAGAGTTCTGCAGGGCGTATTCAGCATGCTGGTGGCAGAATAAAACATGCCTTTCGCTTTCCAAACCCTCTGCTTTTTGATATGCACACAAAGACAGCGAACACTTCCATGGGAACACGAGGTTTCCACAGCAAAGTCCACTCCAGTGCCAGATGCCGGAGGTTAATTGTACCCCACAGCTCGGGGGAGCTTTTATTAAAAGCTTCAAACCACAAACACTTTTCCAACTACAAAAGCAACCAAAAAAAAAAAGTTTCTGCAGTCAGCCGAGGGCCACCGCAGAAAGCGGCGCTTTGTACATTTAAAAGTGGTTTTATTTCCTCTCCTTGTACTTCCAAATCCATCCCACTGCCTCAAGCTCCTGAATTAGCCTGGAAGGAGGAAAAAATAATAAATAAACAACATCATGCCCTCTGTGTGGTTAAAATTGAGCAAAAACCTGGCAGGTAACAAGCTCAGGAGCAGTTCCCGGTGTTGTCAGTGTGCTGGAAATTGATAAATCAGGGTTTCTTCCTGAGCAGCTGTGGGACAGTGACAAACTGGGTGCAGGGACATCCCATCCTCACGCAGTCACCAGTGACATGGGACACAGGAGTGGTGCACAGCACCCTCACATGTCCCTCCCTGCTCACAGCTCTGGGCAAGGCCAGGCCTGTCTCCAAATCTCTCATTGCACACATAAAACACTGCACAGAAGCCACAGCCCCCAATTTCCACCCATAGACTCTGTGCCAGCCCCATCCCCGTGTCACACACACCCCCAGCTCTGTCCCCATGTCACACACTGCCCCCTGTGCCAGGGCACTCCTGTCCCCATGTCACATGCACACCCCAAACTCCTGTGCAAGCCCTGTCCCCATGTCACATGCACAACCCCAACTATGCCAGATCAGCCCTGTCCCCATGTCACACACACACCCCCTGTGCCATGCCCTGTCCCCATGTCACACACATACCCCCTGTGCCCGTGTCGCACACACCCAGGCCAGCCTGCCCCGATGTCACACACACGCAAAGTGCCAGGCCTGCCCTATCTCCTTGTACACACCCGCCCCACCCCACCTGTGCCAGGCCAACGCTGTCCTTATGTCGCACACCCACACACGCAGTGCCAGGCCATCCCTGTCCGCATGTCACACACGCACACACGCCTGTCCCCGTGTCACACAAACCCCCAGTGCCAGCCCAGCCCGGTTCCCGTGTCACACAGCCCCGGTGTCACCGCTGTGCCCCCGTTCCCAGCCCGTGTCACCGCCCTGTCCCCACGGCACGACCACCGCGCGCCCCTCACCTGCCGCCGCGCGCCCGTCACCGCCGGCACCCAAACATCACGTGAGCGCCGTGGCCCCGCCCACCCCGACCACGTGTCACTCCCTCCCCCCATCGTTGTAGTCCTCACCCCGTTGATATAGCACGCTTCGCTCCTCTCTTTGCACTACAACTCCCAGAGTGCACCGCGACACGGCGTCCCGTCCCCTTCACCCTTCAACCAATCGGCGAAGGGGACGGCCCGAGGGGGCCCCGCCCACCTCTGAGCACCTCCCTCTTCAGGGCGCGGCCCGGGGCCGCCCCTCAGGAGTCGCTCTGAGCCTGCCGCTGCTGCGGGCGGTGTTCCCTGTTCCACATCCTTGGCATCCTCGGTGCCCTCCTCACCTTCACCCTCCTCAGGAACGGCTGGGCGTTCTTATTATTACGTAGAGAGGGGTCGCAGTGGGCTCCTCATCACTCTACAGCTCCCTGACAGGAGGGGGGTCGGTTTCTTCTCCCAAATAACGCTTGCGTAAAAAGAAACCACCTCAAGTTGCACCAGGGGAGATTCAAGTTGGATATTAAGAAAAATTATTCACTGGAAGGCTGGCCAAGCATTCTAAAGGGCAAGTAGTGGATTCACCTTTCCCTGGAAATGGCAAAATAAAGTGTAGACGCGGCGCTTGGGGACAGGGTTTAGTGGCGAATTTGGCAGTACTGGGTGAATGGTTGGACCCAGTGATCCTTCAGGTCTTTTCCAGCCTTAATGATTCCGTGGTTCCCTGACAGGTCTATGCCCTCCTTCGTAGCCTCACAGTGCCCAGGGCACTGCTCACAGAAATAAATGAGCAAACCCCACCAACTCTCTGCTACTAAAGCTGCTAATTCTCTCCAAAACACCACAAATTGCAGCCCAGGACTGGAGGTTCACCCAGATGAAGTGCTTTGATAGAGCAGTCTGGAGTACAACTGTACCTACGAGGAGTTTGCTTTTTATTTGCCAAGCGACAGCAGCTTTACGTGGTGCCTGGCTTGCAAAAGGAGTTATAAAGAGGATTTTCTTGATAGAGCCTTTAACCAACAATTCATTTTAACAAGGGACTGACAAGCCAGCTGCCTGTTCAGAAATGGAGTTCTGCACCAGTAGCCCTGCTAAAAAAAGCTTTAAAAGGGCTGAGGGGCCACCTGAGCCTCCATAAACTTCAGGGTTTTACAGCACCGAGCTGTTTCCTCCATCTTTTGCTGCATTGATAATCATTTATTTCTGTGGACTCTGAGGAAAATCCCTTAGGAGAAGGGACATAAAAATATACTGATAACGAAGTACAGCTGTCTGCTTGTCATCTGCAAAATCCTCTGAGTACAGCTACATGTGCAACGCCCTGTGTCTTGCTGGGTGGGTTTTTTGTTGAGAGGGAAGGAAGAATGAGTTAATCCTGCACGAAGCATAGATTACATTTCAAAAACTGCTGTGAAAATTTTGCAGTAATTTTCAGTACAAATCATATTTGCCTCCAGCGTGAGCCTCATGAAAGTAAATAAGAAAAGAAATATATAAACACGTGCCAATATAAAACAGCACAAGTATTCCAAGGGACAGCAATCATAAAAATTACAGTGGGATAAATCTCATACGACTGCTTTGGTCTGCAGGCTGCATCTTGCTGGTTTTGCATTTTGGAGCTGGAGAAATACTGCTTAATCAATACGTGCGTTATTCATACAATAATAATGCTGCACATTCTCTTGGGACATTTTTCTTCTGAGGAATTTGAGCTGTTGCAAACCTTCTCATTGTGTGCAGCAGGGCTGGTCCTTGTTATTAACAGCTGCTTATTGATCTGTAACAGCTTTTAGAAAGACCGAGGGTGGGTTTTTGGCATGGTGTGGAAGTCAGGTCTTTTACATAAGCAAGGCGTTGTGCGTCATTAAGATGTTGCTTTCTCTAAATTAAGGGGAAAAAACCCATGTAATTAACAGCTTTGTTCCATCCCACAGTGATAACATCTATAAATCTGAAAAATATACAGTCAGCTGTATGGGAACCAAAGCTCCAGGGGCCAAAATTTTATTAAAACAGCTTAATCTTCATGTTCCTCATCTTTGAGTGGGAGGAAGTTGCCCATTTACCAGATGCTGTGTGGCGTTTTCCAAGGTGGAAGCAGTGATTTCTTTCCAGATGAACAAAACTCCTGGAGGTCAGACCCTGAATCTGGAGGGATTGGGGAAACATGACTTGGGGGTGAAGTTGTCAGTGGATTTCTGCTTTGGAAAACTGCCCCTATTCCTCTGTGAAAATGAAATGGAGGATCTCTAGTGGAATTTAAGTAAACTCATCTGTGATGCTTTCATCCCTGCTGGGATGATTACCCGCTTAGGCTGGCTGTGTCTTTAGGGAATTTCTTCCGCTCCTTGGAAGGAGTTTCCTTTTGGCTCACAGGTTTCTTCTGTGAATCATCTTAAATCATAGCCTCTTAATAGCTGGGCTATTGAAGTATTTATGGAAAGGTAATCCAATTGTCCTCTTGGTTACTTTTTCCCTAAGCTGTGTGCATTTGTCTTCCCTGTAATGATTTGTATTACACCCTATTACATCCTTACAAATAACTCACTGGGGTTTCTTTCCTATACTACAGGACTTCTCTACAAAGCAGGAGAACCCAGACAAATGACTTGCATTAAATAAAGTGTGGGGTTTAGGTTATAATTTGGATTATGTTCTTAACACCAGGTATATAGTCTAAGGTGCTATTTATTTCTCTCCTGTATTGGATTGACTGGAAATGTTGATAAAATCAGGAAGAGTGAGGTAAATAAAAAATATGTCACAAGAAAGTGTCAGTGAGTGCCTAATTTATCCCATTAGGACACAGATGTAAACATGGCAGCAAAACCATCAGGGAAGAAAAAAGAACAACTTACCATTGCAATCATATGGAGGAGAAAGCCTCGATATTTGTCCAGAGTATGTACAAATAAATTTCTCCAGATTTTAAAATGTTCTAGGAATTATTTATTTAGGGTAGTTTTACATATGTGTTTAAGGAGTATCCACTTAAAAAAACAAATAAACAAAACCAACAAAATCCCCCAAAACAACAACAAAAGCCAACCAAACAAAGCAAACAAATAAAAACCCAAACCAAACCCCACAAAATTTCTTTTCAGAAGTTCCTTTCTTTTTCTGGTCCAGTTTCTTTTCAGATTTAAATAAGAAAGTATTCTCCCCTTTTCTTCCCATATTCCTGCTTTCTTTTATTTTTTTTTCTCCTGCTTTTTTTCAATTATTAGGCTGGACTTGTAACATTCCTGAAGACTGCTGGAAAAAATAATGCTGTTTTTTTTAGCAGCACTCAACTTTTCAATGCTGAATTAATTGGCCAACCACACACTTGGAAAAGCACTTTTTTCTTTTATAAAATGCCTTACACACCAAGCCAGTCAACTGCAAGGAGCACAACAACAATCACACGTTGGCCTGAATGCTTCACAAAACCAAGGCTGACTCTTATTTCCTATTTCCAGACATTCATCCAGTGACCTAAGACTCCCTGAAAACAGCGCAGCTCAGAGAGCTTATCACAGCACATCCGTATGTTGCTACCTGTGAGCAATTTAATAAAAAAGATATTATAGCAACAATAAAAGGAGTCTGGAAAAAGCCAGCTAATCCCTGAACAACCTTATTTCAGTCTATTTAAAGTCCAAGAGAGCCTTGAATTCCAGGACTGAGCAAAATCGGGCATAAAACAGATGTTTTCATCAAGTACTGCAGTGGCAGCAATACATGTCCCAAGCTATGACCACCTGGCAGGTCTGGTACGTCACAAGGAAGAATCACAAGCCATAAAGAAATTATTTTCAATACTTTTTGTACTCCTGCATCAGTTACATCTGGTTATAGCTGCAATGGCTGTGGATTTTAGTGGCATTTCACTTGGATTTATCTGAGTGTTGCTACATCTGACCCTTCCTTTTCTGGAGACATCTGACTGCATCTGAATTAGGAAAATAAAAGCCACAAGCCAATGTAAAAAACTTTGTCTCCGAGGCAGTGATAAGTCAATCACCTCATCAATAAAGCGTGTCCAATACTCTCAGTAATCCCGGTGATCAGTTTTGCTTATGGAAGCTGGAGATGTTAAATCGAGCTCGGAGCAGGGATGACAAGTGGCAATTGAAAGTGATGTTGACAGAGCTAAAGGAGCCCATGCTGAGAGCAACAGATGTAACACAACGGTGAGGGAACGGGGCTAAACCGGGCTGGTGGCGAGGAAAACTCAGAGGTCGGAACAAATCCCTCACTCCACTTAACTCCGTGACAAAACACCGGTGATCTTTCGCTCGGTTCAGCAGTGCTGCACCTGGATAATCAGGAGGAAAAATTGGAGGGCGCAGGGGAGCCGTGGCCCAGAAGCTGCAGGTATGAAAGATGCAAGGAAATCACTGCAAAGAATGAATGGAGGGAGATTTCAGCTCTGAAAATATCAGCACTTCCTCCTTCCCTATGACAATTCTTCCCCAAGGCCGGGTTGGATGTGGCTTTGAGCAACCTGGTTTAGTGGAACGTGTTCCTGCCCATGGTAGAGGGGGTGGAATGGGATAATCTTAAGGTCTCTTCCAACCCAAACCATTCTGGGGCATCTAAAGGCATCAAAGTATCCAGAGCATAACTGAAAACCTCCTTTTTATACTGCAGTTGTGAAATAATGAAAAAGGAACACCTGAAATATAAGTGGGTCTATAGGAAAATAAAAACATGGGAAAAAAACTCAGAAACTAAGAAAAACATCTGGTTTTAAAATGTCTAATTCTGGTTTAATTCATAATCTGTTTTTATGGCTGAATTTCCTTTACCAGAATCAAGTCTCTATTTGGTTACTGTAATTAAAGATGCAGTTACTACCACTCATTAGACAAGAATTGTTCTTTCTGCCTCTGTTATCATCTCATTAATAGTTTTTTTTTTCCCCTCAAATTACACATTTTCAAAGGTAAAGGGTTTTCTACGCATTTTTGCTATATAATGGGGCACTTAAGGACATGGTTTAGTGATGGACTTGGCAATACTGGCTCCATTCTTGGACTTGATCTTGGAGGTCTT